GGCCCAGCCTGAAACGGTGACACCATTAATCTCACCATTGACTGGAAAAAATGAAGTCAAACACTTGACATCCCGAAGATCTAGAGAAGCTGATCATCTTCTAGTTCCATTTCAGATAAAATGGCCAATTATTACCCTTGGGACAACACTGAAGAGGAACTAACAATGCTAATGAGAACGAGCATGCATTAAAAAATTACTTAATGGAATCAGGAAGCCAGAAACAAAGAGCTTGGACATTAAGCAGCTAGAGAGAGGAGAAGAGTAAAAATTCATAGTTCAAGTTTTCTTGTGTCTGGCTTTTTAGTTTGTTCATGCTACCTTGCAAAATAAGGAACATGATAAAGAAATCTACAGACACGGTAACTGATGATCCTGTGAGGCATGGGTGAGCATTACAAGCCACCTGTGGACCAGCTACTGCTAGTACCAGAAGGCCAAAGCACTAGTGTCAAGTTCTCTGACCTCTGACCAAATCAACCAATCCCACAGTTCCCCCATCCCCAACTATTTTGGGCTGTTAATATACACCTCTGTACAAAAAATTAATTTATTTCACTAAGAGGAAAATACAGAACACTTAGGATTATGATTTAATATTACTTCTTCAGAAGTCTGTCTTTACAGTGAATTCAGAAGTCTACAAGACTGCTAAAAACACTGATCGCGGCCCTTCAGTAATACGGAGAAAAAGCAAACTATGTCAACTAAATATTGACTCGATTATAAAACAAATGCTACAGAAGAAAAGGTGTTTTTTTTCTCCCCAGAAGTTGGTATATGTTTAACACTTCAGGCCAGAAAGAAGCACAGTTCAAAGTTCAAGTCCAAAACAATTAAAGCAGTTCGAGTTGACACTGCGATGGCAGCCCTGTTCCTCCCACTGCAACAGTCTCTAGTCCCAGTACGTCATGACTTTTGTTTAGTAGCTCCTTCTCTTGCTAGTCTATCAGCTTCTTCATTTCCTTGGAAGCCAGCATGACCAGGAACATGCATCTGTTAGGACAAAAGTATAGGAGCATTAGATATGCAAGAAAGCAAGGAAAAAGTACATACATTAAATTTGAGCGTGCAACACCCTTTCACTCACAGTACAGTAGCACCTCCGTAGAGGTCCGCTCCTTGCATTTAGTCCTGATGTGTTCTTCCCAGGAAGGTTCATAGTCTCCCTTCCTCTAGGGAAGCTGTGCCAAATTGTGAAAATCATCTTTCTGGGAAGTAGCGAACTGGATAAGGACCACCTAACCTAGTCTTTAGGAAATGCAGACAACAGTGCTCCAACTCCAAATTCCCACTTTCAGAGAAGAGAGAAAAACCTATCTGTGTTCAGTACTGAAACCAAGTTAATCTTCTCCCCGAAAGCCAGAGACCTCTATGCCGCTAACAGCCTTGGTGGTTACAGCACTCACTTAGGATACAGAAACAGGGTATGAAAAGAATCTTTCAATTTTCAGATGTCTAAACTGTCCAATTAGGAACTGAAAACATTTTCAATCCTAAGCCCATCCTTGTCAGAAGGAAGGGCGGAGGAGCCTGGGGGAAGAAGGACAGGAAGAAAATCAAGCTTGCTATTTGACAAGATCTGAGAGGGGACAAGCATGAAGTGTGCGCGAGATGGTATTATGTTTACATGGCAAGGTTTTGGTACCAGGTGGGGGGGCTGCAGGGGTGGCCTCTGTGAGAAGACACCAGGGGCTGTCCCTGCATCAGAGAGGGCCAGTTCCAGCCAGCTCCAAAACAGACCCACTGCAGGACACAGCTGAGTCCATCAGCAAAGCTGGTGGCTCCTCTGGGATAACCAAGTTAAGAAAAGGTAAAAATGCTCACAGCAGCCAGGGAGAGGAGCGAAAGTATGTGGTAGGAGCAGCCCCGCAGCCCCCGGTGAGTGCAGCAGGAGGAGGAGGTGCTGCAGGCCCGGAGCAGAGATTCCCCCCAGCCCCTGGGGCAGCCCACGGTGAGTCCAGCTGTCCCCCGGCAGCCCACGGAGGCCCACGCTGGAGCAGATCCCCACCTGCAGCCCGGGGAGGACCCCACACCAAAGCAGGGGGATTACCATAATAAAGTGTATGCATGCATTGCTCCTCCTGAAATAAAAAAGCTTCCCAAGTTTAAGAGATTCAGGTGTAAGAAGTGTGCATAAAGCAACAATATTTTTATGCAAAATACTCTAAGAACAGCTGAACTTTGGTCTTAGTTTTAAATTTTTATGCTTTCTTCTCCTCAATAGGCAATACAAGTAGTTATATAAAATCTAGTCGGCCTTTAAATTGGAGTCGTGAACTCTGGAACATAGAACAACATGAACAGAAGAATATCTGCAACAGATTTCCCATAGAAAAAGCGCACATTAAAGATCTATGTTATCCTGTTTTCTACAGAGTAAAGACAGAAGCCTCATAAATATGCCATTAGCAGCCATGAAGTCCACGGCACAGATCTGTTTCTGGAATTAGTAGTCTTAGATCACAATTAGAGTGACATTTAGAAGGAGAGGAGGGAAGATATCCCCTACAGTGTTTAGCACAGATGTTAGAGGCTACAGAAAAATACATTTTACCAGGTATACCTCTATAGAAATTGTTTTATTTCTTTACTGGAGAGTGAAACAATTTAAAACTTAACACTGGGTATTTTAAAGACCTTTCTGTGCCCAGTTTTCTTGGAAAAAAAAATACAGTTAAGATACAAAAAACTACAGTTAGTTTATTTGGGGTTATACTCTCTTAGTTTTCCCAGTTTAAAGACACTCATGTGATTGAGTTACACCAACAAACCAGTGTCTTAAAAGTTCTGAAAAGCAATCCAGAAATTCAGCTATGATTTAAAGACACAGTTATGTTTTAAGCTCCGATTTCCAGGAACAGAAATTTCATCTACTAACAGTACTAACAAAACTATTCTTGCAGGCATTTTCTAAGTAGTAACAAGAGACAGAAAACAAATATAAACATGCATTTTAATAAATGAAATACTGGTTCCAAGAGCCTAGGTTATATTGCTTATTTGCTTTAAATAAAACAAGTAGGTTCTCCGTATTTATGGTTTTACTTATGCATGTACAATATTATGCGCTATAAAATTCTTAGTTATGGTCATACTTGCAAACAGTTTTCTTGTAAACACTTAAGATGTCATTAAGAATAAGAAATGAGGTGCTTACCCACTGAATTTCTATGTCTTTTGATAAATTATCAAGTCTTTCAAAATCTTCTTTATTTATTACACTTCCTCCTGAACTTGTTCTCCAGCCATTTGTTTTCCAGTTGTCAACCCAGCTCGTAATACCTATGCAAAGGGAGCATCACCATAAAAAAGCCATTAGAGAAGCCAGCAAGGATCAAGATGGAGCAAACAGCCTTTCAACATGACATTAATGCCATACAAAGTCTCAGGCAAAGACACTGGAGACAGAAGATACTCTTGTCTGGTTCTCTGCTACTGTCTTTCAGGACTGTATTTTTCCATTATTACTTGAATTACCTAATCATGTTTTTCCAAACAGATATTCAATTTAAAGACTACAATCTTAGATACGCATTACACAGAAAATTACAGCATGAACTTCAATAAACTGAAGCTAAGGATTTCCTTGATGGTACAAGTAAGCTAGAACAAATCTACAGCTTTCTTTTGAGAAATTGGAGACATACATGCATAGAGGAAAAACAGATGGCCACCTGTCTTAGGGCTTCTGCATGCTAAACAGAATCCTTCAGAGTAGGACCACATAAGCAGATTTCTGCAGAACAAGATTTAACATTCTGGTCATCCCTTGCTGGCCAAAAAAATTACTACATTACTCCTTAAATAAGGATTTTTATTTTTTTTTTAAAAATATCTTCGCTGGTTTCAACAATGTAAGACATCTTTACTGCTTTCATGACAAACAGACCTGAAGCAAATAGAGGATCTCCAATCTTGGGCACAAACCCTCCTAAAAACAAAACGAAACCACATCCACTTGTACTTAACCACAAGCCTCCTTCTCTGTTATTTTAAAAAATAACTCCTAGACACATTTACAAAATAACTAATTAAACAAGAGTGGAACCTGCACCTCAGTGACCCAAACTACAAGAGCAAACTGCAAGCAAAACCAGAGACTAAGACATCACACCTAAAGATTCTTCTTTTCCTCCCTCATACTTAAGTCTCACACCTAAGTTTAACAGGAACTTTATCTGACTCTGCAACTTTTCCTCCTTCCTAACATCAGGTACACAGACAAGATGGTACAGACTTTTCTCCCACAAACCAAAGAATTGCAAAGATGTTTCTTTGTTCCTTAATGCTTTGAACAACTTGCTTCTTGCAATAGATTATGCACTTAGATCCTATTGATCAGGATGCAACACCTAGTCCCGAAGAGTAGACTCTTGGTTTATTCTTCCCTTTTTCAAAATGCTTCTAGCAGAGGCTAAAAAAAAACCCACCACCAAGAAGAAAAAGACCAAAAAACGAAACAAAACCCCCACACATTCTGCTCCTATAAGAAACGCTATACCTAAATCTTTTGGGGAAAATAAGCTACTCAAATGAGAGATTTATGAGATGTTCCTTAGGGAGAAGCAATGGAAAATTCGTTTAAGTTGCTTCTTAACATTTACTGTCCCTTCCTCAACTTATAAGCTAGAATCGGGAGGACAGGGCACAAGTCCTTGACACTTTTCACTTCCACGCAGAACCTCTTTCATTCACATGCAAGCTAACAGAATTTGAAACAAGCAGCAAGGGACAGCTCCAGCAACTCCTTGCTTGACTAGCAGTCTCTTGCTCCTACTCAGTAGCTTTCTGTCCTTTCTAGGGTACTGCTACTCAAGGTGACATCAGAGTTTTTCAAGGTAAGTTTTGCTTTACTTCTAAACATGAGCCACCTGAAAAAGGAAAAAACTGATGCTCTTCTTTCATACTCCTCCACTTTCAGAAATCAGGAGGGGCTTCTGGAAAGCAAAATGACTTATTTGGAGGAAAAGATACACAGATTTTTAACATACACACCATTTATTTACTTTATTAATAACAAGCAATTAAACCAATAATTACTTTCAGTGCTAGCACAGAACAAGATACTCACATTCCCCTCTCCCCCACCCCCCCAAAAAAAAAATCAAAGTGTGAAAACGCAACATTTAATTTTCAACCAAAAGTTGCAGTAAGTTTTTCTTTGATGTTATTAAAAAAAAACTAAACCAACAACTCCAAAGTGATCTGGAAACAGCAAACACATGTACTCCCTTTGTAAAAAGGTGAAATACAAAGAAAAACATACTTAAACAGTTCCAAATTATCACAGGAGCCAAATGTGAAGATCTTGGGGAAAGAAGAAGAAGTTTTATTCAGAAACTAAGCCTTACTGGCCGCTTCATAGGATATTTATAAGGAACAAAATTAAATTTTCCAAATCTTTGGATGAGAGTGAAATGTTAAATGCATACTCTGAGCGCATATCGTCTCTGGCTAGCCTTCTAGCATAGCCTGAACTCTTGGAAGTGTAGTCTACATGTAAAAAGCAAGGAAACTTGAATGTACTTCACATGCACGTATTAAGATAGCCTCTCCAATCCAAGCAAAACAAAACAAAAAACCTACAGAGTTACTACACCCCCTTCCAAGTACCTTCCTGAGTACATCCTTAACAGAGTACACATAAACATTTTTTCTAGACTTTGTGTCACACTGAATACTTTAATACAAAAATCCTGTAGTTACTTCTGTCAGCCTTTACTGTAACAGGCACTTTGTCTCTATTTGTATTTCATGCAGTTAGCAGGTGATCCTGTAATATTCTGAAGTTTTTCCCCAAGCAGTCATGGGTACTGAAATAAGTTATGCATTCTCTTCCTTATATCCCTCTCCCCAGGACTCAGTATGTTCTGTGGGCCTTATGTAATGAAATAGTGTGCAGTGTGTCTTTAAGAATCAGGAAAACTAAAATCATTAACTTACCATTAATAGTGAACTTGCTATCAGTGTAGATAATTAGTTTCTTGATGTTTTGACTCTTTGCTTGCTCTATTGCTTTGCAGGCTGCCTTAAGAACATTTCAATAGAATCACAGTTCAGAACAAGATTTTGAACACATGCAATTAAAATACCAGCAAAGTACCTGATGCTAACACAGAACTACAAAGAATATTACTGTAATCTCTTCATCAATGAGTAGCAATATGCTTTAGAGCAGAGGTTCCCAAAATCATGCATGCAGATGACCGCTTAATGAATCAGGCAAACAGGGAGCTGCTAAAGTTTCCCCGGCAAAAAAAAAACAAGAACATTCTTATGTTCAGCTCTGTACTGAAGGAGTAGCTCTCTGCCTAATTTTATAACTACCAAAGCCTCTATCAACTGCACATCAAGTTTTAGGTATTTTCTCCATAACTTTGAGGAAGGATTCATACAAGTTCCAACAGTCTGGAACCCCTGAAGTTGGGGGTTTTTTGGTGCAATGAAATAAAATAAGAGAGAGAAGTGGCCAGGTCTGGATGTAGAGCTGAAAAGCTCTTTAGTGACAAGTTTGACCGCTGGCACACCACCAACACCTCCGCTTCTCCCTCACTAAAATGAACTTCCTGTAGTCTACACAGATCAATTCCTCATTTCAGTTCATCTCCAAACTCACAGCACAGGACAGCAGCAGCCACCCAAATTAAGGTGAGGTGAGAAGGGAAGACTAATCTACTGTTGCCAATAGAAGTTCACTTCAGAAGTAAAATAAGTTATCCTGAGAACCTAGGATTGTTTGTTATATTTATCTAAGGAATATGATGCTCTGATCTATCACAGTAAGAAGCCAATTCTCCTTTTAACCTCTACTCAGCAGCCCTCACCCCAAGGTCTGAGATATACACATTAAAAATGGAAAGGACACCATACAGATTTGAGAACCAGGCTTTCCTAATGCAAGGCCATTTTAAATAGCTGTGCTTGGCCTGATGATATTTGAGAATTCTCAAGGCAAATTACCTTGTTCAAAGCCAATAAAGATCAATAAAACTTGAAAAGAATGATTTGTTTCAAGTTGTAACTCCTGATATTGGCTCCACAACTGGTTTCTGAAGGCCAGAGTTGAAATAGTCACGAGTGTGCTACTGCGGTCGAACACACAGAAGCATTTTAGGACCTTTACTACTTACATGTATTTCCGCTCTTTGATTAGTCTGCCGTCCAGGAAGCCTTTCACTGGTATTTCTGTGTCCAAGGGATGAATAATAGATTAGTTACCCCAAATATTCAGAATGCTGTATAATGACTACACATTAGAAAAACAAATACAAGACAGCTACTTTTCCTTTTATAAAGGAGGATGAACAGACACTCCAGCTCTAACTTCCACCTGCACAGTGCAACCTGCAAATTTCAATCTGCCATCAATATGCAGTTACATTTATTGTCTTCTGTTCATATCTACATCTATTTTAAAAACTTTCTGCATCACTTGAATTATAGCTTCAGCCCCTAAAAATACTATTTCCAGTTGATTGTCCCCACATTCTTATCTCTCAGAGAAGCCGATTTCTCTTTTCCCCTCAGTAACTCGCTAGTCTCATAGCACTATCATTTTGAGCCTCAACAGCAGGGCTTCATATTCAAAAGAAGACCGGTATTATAAATGACACACAAAACAAATAGTAATACATTAAAAAAAAACCAAAACCAAACCCCCAAAATATCCAGCTACTTACAAAGGGTGGCCTGGTCCCCAGTAGACACCTATTCCAGCACGTGCCTTATTACGTCCATTACCTGAGCAACAACCGTCTGTATAAACGACTGCAAAGTCACCTGCAAAAGAATTACCAAAAGCAGAAGTTCACGCACCTCTTAAAGGACATAGACTCTTTAAGCAAAAAGAAATGCCTGCCAACAGATTAATCCCCAAAACTTCCCTTCCCAGAGGGCCTTTCAAAAAGTTAACTACAGAAGTTATGTCCATTAGTAATGCAGAACACCAGAAGTCCTATCACACCCTCACTGATGTCAAATTAATCAGCCTCAAGAAGCACCTCTGCCCCAAGTTCCATATTCTCACTACAGTTCCTTTTTTCTTCATTCAACTTCAAAACTTCCCAGCTACATCTGTATATTTAAATAGAGTCTCTAATCCAGACTTACATAAAAATCACACCCATAATGATCAGATCAAGCTATATGTTGACACCAGTTAAAGCCAACTCAAATTACACTGAAAGACAACATGAACAAACGTATCATGGCTCACATTTCCATTTTAAAAAGAAACAACGCTGCGCTGGGCCTGGTGCTGCCATACACAAACCTCCCTAAGAGCTTTCTAATAATTACACTTTAACAAGCTCTTTCATAAGTAACAGCGCAAAGGACTGAAAATAATTACAGGAATAATGAAGACCTCACCCATATATGAAAATTTATCTTCACTGACTGTTGGTGTTGAGTGTGCTTCATCATGTTTTACACGCTTTGCAATGCGTTCTTCGTTTGCAGACTGTTCGTATGGTCTTTTGCATGTATTGCAACACAAGATGTTTACTTCTGGTTCCTCTCTCTGGCTACCATTTTCCTGTGTTACAACTGAAGAACTATGTGCCCCTTCCAAAACAAACAAAAAAAAAAAGGAAAAAAAAAAGAAAAAGTTCAAATATATATAAGATCAAATTTTATTTCAAATGACTGCTTATAAACATGTGTTATCACCTAGTGATAACACCTAGCTAGTGTTGTCACCTAGCATGATGTGTAACTATCATGCTAGTCTGTTAACTGACACCACCCCAAGCTACTATGCAAAAAATATCATAGTATACACCAGTCATTCTTGATCCTTGATCAGACTGAAGGAGACACATATGTAACGGCCCTTGAAACGGACACAGCAAAAGCAATGTTCGCCAAGCCCCTACGGAAATACTTCCATTGCACAGACACATCCACCGCTGCACTTCACCACCACGGCGTTCCGCCACTTC